CAGCAGGGGGTGTCCGTTGGGAGAGGTGAGGGGTGGGAATGTGTTGTAAATGTGCGGGGGACTGAGTTTAAAGAGAGGCTCACAAGTACACTACAATGTGGGCCGATCTGTTCTGGACCATATTGGAGACAAGCATGTTGAGTCCAAGTGCTGTTATGTAACTCTGATGTGATGATGAGGATGGAACATGGTGGTTCTCATTCCCACATTTGCCTCAGAGAGACAGAGAAATGATCCACACAGATTCAGACTGGGACATGTGATCTTTAACACATTTATTGATGGTCTTATCTGTTGTAGAAAGCTCTTTGAATGACCTGAGCTTGAAGAAAATTAATTCTGACCAGAGTGATCAGCTTCASTTTCACATTATGCAGATAATCCAGCAGAAGCACATTGAAAATCCTGCATCAGACATGTTGCTGTTTTTTTCACTAAGTTCTATGTAAATAACCAAGGAATGACAAGTTTAATTAGGTAACGTTCAAATGAACCAGAAATACATTTTTTAAATTGGAGTTTTGGTTTTGACTGTGCAAGAACTAGCCTCAAAACTGAGCTTTTCTCAAAAAACTATCTACAACAGGTAAGATATTTATTCTCTGCATCCCTTCCACAGAACCCTACTGTAAAAAGATGGTCCTTGGGAGTCATCCTGAATATTTTGAGGAACATTTTTTTATTGTTTCTGCCTCGAGTCTGCATGGAAACATTTTTTTCAAAAGAAGTTCCAAAGTGGAAAAATTCTTGAAACCACTCCCTTGTTTTTGTGTGCAGTTAGAAAGAAACCTTTGAAAACAATATTAGCCATATTTACAGTCCGAGTGCATTCTTTTCTTCTTGTCTTTTTTGTTTTGCAACTAGCATGCAACCTTAATTCACATGCTCCACGCCTTGTTTCCTGTTTTTGGTGCATTTTTATGGCAGTGTTACAGAACCGCTAACCAGACCCTTTTCCTTGGCTTTACTTCATACMAAGGTCTGGACTCTCGGCTATAGAGAAGTGATTCTTGCTGGAGGCGTGGCCTCTGCTGAAGTTTAAAATGATTGGATCGGTTGACCGCGATGTATGTGTATGCCAGCTCCACTGTGAAGGAGGCTAAGCTAAGAAGCTAATCGGAAATTGCATGTGCTGTAAACAACCCMACTGAGAGGAGAGAAGTACAGAGCTGAATGAGACGACTGTAAATGAGAGCTGCTGCTTTGTCAGATAAATTTGTTTTAATTTGGAAGCCTTATCAACACGGACTGGCTTCATTCACTTCCTCCACTGCCATYGCTAAACTAACTAGCAGACACTGTGCAGAACATCAACGTTGTCGTTCAAAACTCCGCCTTCMGTTCTCTGATTGGCCCAAARGAAATTCTCTTGAAGAAATCCTTGTCTATGGGAGAAACCCCAGACGGAGCAGTGAAGGGAAACTAGAATTGAGCAGAACTGCGTAGGAAGGCAAGGATCAGGCTATAGAACTACATAAAGACTTGGCATTTTCCATATTTTCATGTAGATGAACATAAATCTATCAACTATGCCACATTTGTAAAAATATAGAAATGACAAATAAGATCATTAAAAATAAACTGGGTTTTTGTGTAGAGAAGAACTTGGGTGTTTCCTTTTTAAGGCATTTGGTTGAAGTAAATGAGTCATTAACATTAACAGGCTTCTGCTGAGGAAGTAATTCAGTGAAGTGATTGGAAGTGTTGGAGCAGAGAAATAAGATCCCTGATGTTGCTTTAAGATGTTCAGCTCTAAAAATGTGAAATTAACACTTGGCTTTTTGGGTTTCTGTTTCAGGCACACTGATGGTGATTTCCCTCCTGTCCATCGTGTACGGAGCGCTGCGCTGCAACATCCTTGCCATCAAACTGAAATATGACGACTATGAGGTGGACATCCAGCCAGTGGCTTATCTCTGCATTTTCCTGTGGAGAAGCTTCGAGATCGCCACTCGTGTGGTGGTACTGGTCTTGTTCAGCTCCGTGATGCAGCTCTGGGTCTTGCCGGTGGTTTTCCTGAACTTTGTGGTCTTCTTCCTCTACCCCTGGATTCTGTTCTGGCACAGCCACTCCCCGTTTCCCGAGAACATAGAGAAAACGCTCACGCGGGTGGGAACCACCATCGTGCTGTGCCTGCTCACCTTCCTGTATGCCGGCATCAACATGTTCTGCTGGTCGGCCGTGCAGGTGAAACTGAACGACCCGGACCTCATTAACAAGTCCCAGAACTGGTACCGCATGGCCGTGTACTACATGCTGCGTTTCGTGGAGAATGCCTCGCTGCTTCTGCTCTGGTACGTCTATAAAACGGACTTCTACGAGTTCATCTTTGCCCCGCTGCTGCTGCTGCAGCTCTTAGTAGCCTACGCCATCGCCATCCTCTTCATGCTGATTTTCTACCAGTTCTGCCATCCATGTCGGAGGCTCTTCTCCTCCAGCCTGACACAGGGCCTTTGGGATTGCTCCTCGCTCATCTGCCTGATGTGCACGTCTGCTTCCCCTCCGAACAGGACGAAGGGAAAGGCGGCGCTGGAGGAGTCGGCGCACAAAGAGCAGAGCCACGACCGCGCCAACGACACGGCTAGCGACAGTACCGAGGGCGTGCCCTACGACACCACATATGACATGCTCAATGACACCATCTATGACATCCCTACTGAGGGGGAGAACAATATAGGAGGTGAAATCAATGGTGACATAAGCCACAATGTGTCCTGCAACGCCTAAAGGGAATATTTCAGAGCTTTTGAAGAAGGGTTCTGGGGAGAGGGTATGAGCACTAAACATCTTACCTGCTGTAGATAGCATTTTCAGCTTGGGGAAACTGACTAAATACAGCTTGTATACCTAGACAACCAAAGTGAGTTGTTAAATTTTAGAATATCTCCTAATATTAGCTAGCTACAGTTAGCTTATATATATATAT